CTACTGGGATGAAAGGCATGTAACACCACTGCCTGACTGAGTTAGTTTGTTTGAGGGGGCTTTGAATTGCTGGACTGTAAAGAATCTTTTTTATCCTGCCAGCCAGCTCCCAAATAATGACACAAAAACTTGTTAATTATGAAAGCTCGGCCTATAGCCTAGGCTTGTTCCTAACTAGCTCTTATAACTTAAACTAACCAATTTATATTAGTATACATTCTATCATGTGGTGTTACCTCTCTTCCATATTGCACCTCATGTTTCTCTCCGTATCTCCTGGAGTCTCCCAAGCCTCAATTCATCTCCTACTTCCTCTCTCTTTCTGCCCAGAAACCCCGCCTATACCTCCTGCCTAGCTATTGGCTGTTCAGCTTTTTGTTACACCAATCACCTTAACGCAGTGTACAAATATCCCATAATAAATCTTGGACCCATATTCATATGTCTGCAATGTGGTAAACATAAAAAAGACTGTAGAGGGCCAGCAGGATGGCTCGACTGGTAAATGAAGGGTTCCAGTAGGTCTGAGCATGACAAACATGGCTCTGGCAGGTCCTGCCTCCCCCATTTTCTCTCCCTTGCTAAACTGTTAGGTTATATCACTAAAACTAGCCTATTCCCTTATTTGGTCACTTCCTCCTGAGGCTAACCACCAAGGTCCAACTATCAAAGGATTGAAGTCCAGTGTTGTGGGATATTTGTACACTATGGGAAGGTGTAGATCCATGCAGCAAACCCAGTTCAAAGGGGTCATTGACAGAAATTCAGACCCTTTGGGATGTAGGTTTGGATCACATCACCAGACATAATACCAAGACCTGATGAGGTGATAGCAAACGGAATTTAAGATGGGAATCAAGTTGTAGCCCAGGTGCCAACCATAGCAATGAGGGTATAGTTGACCCTCCATAGTTTCTTGTAGATAAAAAGGCTAATGGGAACTAAGGGGGTATTTCTCCCCAACCTGTATGGAGAAGCTGATCTGTGTGATACAAGAAGTGGGCTGTAGCAGCACTGAAAATACCTTTGGCTTACCTCTCCTGTGACTGGGAACATGTGCCACTATGCCCTTTGTGATGGTCCCCCCCACACACAGGGTTTCTCTGTGTAACAGTCCTGGCTGTCTTGGAACTAGCTCTGTAGACCAGGCTAGCCTCAGACTTACTGAGATCTGCCTGTCTCTGCCTCCTGAGTCCTGGGATTAAAGACATGCATCACCCCTCACCATCCCCTACCTTCCCCCAAACCATCACCCCGACATGATGGTTAATCTTGATTGTCAATTTGACAAGACAGAGCTGCAATGGGAATCTCTGGGCATGCCTGTGAGGAATGTTCCAGAATATTCAAGATTACATTAATTGCAATGGGAGGACCTACCCTGAACATGGCAGTACCATTCGATGGGCTTGGTCTCAGACTGAATGAAAAGGAGAAAGCAAACTGAGCACAGGTTTTTATTTCTCTCTCTGCTTACTCACTGATGTCAGGTGACTGGCCACCTCAAGCTCCTGCCACCATAATTTACCCTTCGACTATGAGCCAAGATAAACTTATTACTTCCTTAAATTGGTCTTGTTAGCTGTTTTTGTTCCAGCAGCATGTAAAATAACTAATACAGCCATCTACATGGAAAATAAATAGGATTAAAAGCTTATGGTGCCTTCTGTATAAAAATTCTTCCTACACATCTATAAAAACATGCACAGGAACCACCACCATTATAACCTTGTGCAGGGGGCATAGATAGTGTGTACAATAGTAAAGATAGTCAAGTAGTTCAAAAAAACTAAAATAGACACAAACATGCTCAGTTAACAGATGTGAAAAAAATGTAGAGAGTGTCCCGCGCGATCGTCTCGCCAGCAAGAACGACACAGAACACTCGGATCCTTCTGCAGTAAAGCTTTAATGCATCTTGAGAGAGAGAGCATAAGCTTACAGGGCGGAGACCCCGAACTCCCAAGACCCCATCCCTTATATAGGCTGGCAACCGCCGCCTCGCCTGACTGGCTGCAGCTCATCAGACCATATGACACCACCGGAGAGGCAGAGACCAAGGGATGGAAAGTTACCCAGCGCCTGCGCACTAACTTGTTTACCATTCGGTGCCTGCTGGATGCAGGCGCCATCTTGTAATGGAGAATGCAGGGACGGCTCCCTACAAGAGAGTCTTTCTACAGTAGTGCTGGAGGAGAGGGTTATCAGTTAAAAAAAGAACTTCAGCACCCACCAAATCCCATGCATGGATATTATTTTGAGATTAATCATATGCCTAAAGGTAAAAGAGGAACACTATAAAGCTCTGAGGAAGACCAGGAGGAGAAGGGGAAAGAGGGAGGAGGAAGAGGAGGAGGAGGAGGAGGAGGAGGAGGAGGAGGAAGACAAGGAAAAGGAAGAGAAGAGGAAAAGGAAAGGGGAGGAGGAGGAGGAAGAGAGTGTCTTTCTTACTTTTCTATTGCTTCTATTGCTTTATTGTTTCTATAAGACAACTTATAGAAGGAGTTTATTTGGGGCTTAGCATTTCAAGGGTTAGAGCCCATGACCATCACGGTTGGGAGCATGGCAACAGGCAGACAGGCATGGGACTGGAGCTGGACCTGAGCACTCACATCATGAGACATAATCACAGGGCAGAGAGACACTGAGGATGGCATTGGTCTTTCCAAACCTCAAAGCCCACCTCTGGTAACCTACCTCCTCCATCAAGGCCACATCTCCTAATCCTTCCCAAACAGTTCCACCAACTGGGGACCAAGTATTCAAACATGAGCCTACTTGGGCCATTCTCATTCAGACTACCACATTGGGGGGAGGGGCGAGAAGGAGAAATAGTATTAGAAATACAGTCCCAGTAGTGAAAGGGAACATGTAAAAAATAAATAAGGGGAAACTTCAGAGGGCCACTGAACACTTCTAAGTCCAAAGGAGAGCTACACATTTGAGAACACTTTTGTGGTAACCCACCAGGTAGCACAGCCCACAGGTGAGAACACAGGCAATGCTAGCACAGACAGCAGGTGAGAACAAACGTCCCCAGGGGCCCTCTGATAAGGAAGGGATAACTCAGAATCCACTCTTGTTGAGTCAAATTAGCAAGTAACATTCCAATTTCAAGTCACAAGACTGAAAGGCTGGTTTTAAAACTATGCCCCCACCTCACCTAGAAGCAGGTGCCTGATGTAAGGCCAGATTGACACACAGCACCCATTCAGGCTGAACAATGGTTGTCAGGTGGGGTTTCCTGGGAGGGGTAACTAGCTTCAGCAACCTCAGAGAAGCCGCTCGAACTACATCCTTCAACATTAAGATTTTTTTTTCTTCTTGGTTTCAGAGAAAATCCTGCTCCAGTTAACCTTCAAGCAGCATTTTCTGCTTGATGTCAATGAATATTGTACCTAAAACCAGGTGAAGATGTGGTCCTGGTTAGAAATTTCTGGTTTCTTCCAGGTTTGTATGGATCCCTGCAGTCCACTATGAAGTCCTTCTCACTTCACGACAAACCTTGTCTATCTACTTAACATAATCCTGGAAAGGAGCAGGCCCCAAAGTAAGTATGGAGTTGAGAGAGGAGATCTAAGTTACTTATCACTAATCCCCGCCAGAAGATGTTGGTTTGAATTTGATACTTGGGCAGGAATATAATCAACACTTAACCCTAAATTTCTTCTTCATTTAAATTTTGTTTTGTGAGATATGGTTTCTCTGTATAACAGCTCTGTAGACCAGGTTGGTCTTAAACTTATAGAGATCCATCTGCTTCTGCCTCCGGAGTTCTGGGATTAAAGGTGTGTGCCACCACCAACCCAGCCACTTAAAAAATTATAGGTTATGGGGACTGGACAGGCTTGGTGGTTTTAAGTACTGGCTGCTCTTCCAGAGGACCCAGGTTCAATTCCCAGTACCCACACAGTGGCTCACAGCCATCTGTAACTCCAGGTCCAGGAGATTCAACACCCTTTTCTGGCCTCTGTATGCACCAGACACATATATGGCACACAGACATACTTGCAGGTAAAATGCCTATCCCCATTTTTTAAAAGTATATTACCATCACGACCTGCCCGTGGTAATTGCCAAAGAATGACGCTGAATTTGAGATTGAACAGAACCAGAGGGCTCTAGGCAATGCCTTTACCAGAATTTTGTGAAACTTTTATTTCAGATGCCTCACAGAGAAACAGTAACAAACACACTATTTCTCCTCACTATCTCCAAATGTGCTCAGGATCCAGGTCTCCTGGTGCAACAGGGGCTCTTTACACAATGCCTTTAGCACGCTAAGCTACATTGCTGAGGAGGAAGGAGGAAACACCTTGCTCAGGGCATTCCTCCCAAGGGAGTAAACAATGTTCTATGGGAAGAGTTCACACAGCAGGATAGTGTTAAACTATATGCAAGCTACTATATTTACACATACGTAGGCAAATGGACATGATGGCATCCATATGGAGGTCAGAGGACTATTTCCAGTAGTCGGTTCTCTCCTACTATGTAGATCCCAGGGATAGAACTCAGGTCATCAGTCTTGCTAGCAAGCACTTTAACCTATTGAACCATCTCTACTACCTCTACTTCCTCTTCTTGGCAGCATAATCTCTCCTGTTCACCTAGGAACATGGAGAAAGCAGGAGTTCCACAGAATGGAGCCCTTGTTTTTTGTTTTTCTTGAGGTGGCTAAAAGCGTGGCAAGAGAAAATTTGGACAGAAAAGATTAAGAGGCTGGGCAGTAGTGGCACACGCCTTTAGTCCCAGCACTCAGGAGGTAGAGGCAGGTGGAACTCTGTGAGTTTGAGGTCAGCCTGGTCTACAGAGCAAGTTCCAGGTCAGTCAAGGCTACACAGAGAAACCCTGTCTTGAAAAACAAAACAAACAAACAGACAAAGACAATAATCAGGTATTGGGAAAGCTCAGTCCAGGAAGGGTGGGCCTGCTCTCTGAGTAGGAGGCCCTCGGGATCTATTGCTGCTCATTCTCCTTCCACAGCTGCTCCTGGCACCATGCGAGGGTGCTTGTGGAGATTCATGGGAGTCATGGCATCCTTAGTCATCCTGAGATTCTTTATTCAAGAGAATAAAGCAGCCGGTGTAAAGCATAACACAACACTGGTGAGTACTAGGGCTAGAGGCGTCTCCACCCTTCACAGGAGAGGGTTAAAGTCTCTAGGCTCATTGTGGGAATGCTAAAGGAGAGCACCTGAGGAATCCAGACAGTGCCAGAGAAATTACTATAACGAGAGCCGATCCGTATGGTTAAGATATCTTTATTCAGATAAACACCAGCCAAACACAAGCCAGAGCGTGCCAGGGCAGCAAGGCAGCCAGGCCAGAGAGAAGGGGCTCCCATGTGCTTTGCCACCCCTTAAGAACTCATCACATGTCATCCTGACCTCACCTTGACCACACCCTGACAGGCGTGGTCAGGCGCACCTGTAGCCAGCCTCTAACAGGCGTGGCTTACTGTCCCCTACAGATTACATTTGAACTAGACTTGGAGAGGACAGGAAGAGGAGAAGGCATTCCAGGTGTAGAAAAAGTGAAGTACAGCCACCTTTGGAGGAGGGGCTGATCAGCAGGACATGGGTGATGAGGGACACCTGTCTGCTGTCACCTCCTCATGACACCTGCCATTTCTTCCTCTTTCTCTCAAGGGGAAGTGACTTCCCCCCGTGTAAACCTCAGTGCACAGACAGGGCAGTTGAGGCTTTGGGCGGCAGAGCTGTGTGTAAGTGAGACTGAGTACGTAAAAGAACTTTGAGGCTGAGGCAGCATGGGGAAGACATTAAAGACAGGGCCAGGCTGTCTTTCAGAACCCAGGAGATGCCTGAGCCAAGTTAGACAATGTTTGCTAGATTGACTGTGGTAAAGCAATGGCATGTGGGAATTGGCTTGGCAGACAGGTCCTCACTCTATGGATTCCCAGGCCACATGGCTGTGGCTAGAAAGTTCTGGGGGGGGGGGGCTCATGACCAGCAGGGGAGAGCAGAAAGTTGATCCCTAACAGATTACATGTAATGCATCCTGGGATCATTCAATTGGTCCTAAAGAGGACATGTACCAGCTGTCCCCACAGGATCCTAAGAATCACTGTTGGGGCAGCTAATTCTATATCATCTTGTATTCAGAATGAAAAGAAGAAAATGATACAGCAGATAACTCAGGAGCAAATCATCTCTGAAATGAAGAATCATCTGAAATACTTCACAAAGATGCAGAAAAATCCCCTTGTACTCCCAAATGCCAACTACACACTTCTGGCTGGAACATCTCTCCAGGGAAAGTGTGAGTGTATGGGAGGAGCCAAGGCAAGGTCTTCCATCTAGAAAAGGAGAGTGGGGTCTACAGGACTGAGCTGGCAGCCAGCAGGAAGCAAGGACTTTGAGTACTTAGGCTCCTTTTCCTCCCACCTGATCCCTTGAATGCCCAGCAGGACCAAAAGGCCAGCGTAACTCTGTGAGGGAGCCTATGGTCATACTCATTCATGCCAGGCTTCCAGGGAAGGGGAGAAGGATGGAAGAGGAACCAGGGAGACCTGGGGAAGAAGTAGGTGGTGTGGACTTACGGCCCATTCAACTGCACAGCCCAGTGAACTGGACTGGCCCACCATGAGGATTTAAAGGGACTTAAGGATGCTCTAGTCTAGTCCACAGTAGTTGAGATAACTCCGAAGGTCAAAGCCAGGCTAAGATATTTTTATTACATGGCAGTAGTACATAGTTTCCTAGCAAAGAGAGCCTTATCCTCTATTAAGCTTCTTCCATGGCCTTTCAAAGTATTGAGTGAGGAAGTGAAACTCTATACCTTTGAGCAGATATTCACCTCCCATAGTCCTCTCCTCACAGGAGAAGATGGGAGCTTGGCTTGGGAACTGGCATTAAGTGAGGGGCTGGGAAGACAGTCCTGGGACCCATCCGACTTGCTGAAGTACTGAGTGTGTCCCTGTGTTCCTCAGGGATGTTGACAGTGGGGATCTCCTCAGTGCAGCGTACCCATGGGAGTTACCTGTTGGATACCCTGAAGTCCCTGTTCCAAGCTTCCTCAGAACTGGACCTGGAATATATGCTGGTATTGGTCCTCCTGTCAGACACTGACCCCAAATGGCTCAACCAAACAGTTGCCAACATTTCAGGTCTCTTCTTGCCACACATTGAATCCGGGAGGCTGGCGGTGGTCCATGGTCTGCTTTGGGACTCCCTAGCAAAGAGCAGAAATGGTACCTCACCCTGTGGGGAACTTTATTCTAGGCAGAAAACAAGTTTTGTCCTCCTCATGAATTTTGCCAGCAACCTCTCTGACTACTTTCTGTTGCTAGAAGATAATGTGAGGTGTTCCCCCAGGTTTGTGTCTGACATCTACTGGGCAGTGTCAGCCTGGAAAGAGCTCCCTTGGGTGACCCTAGACTTCTCTAGCATGAAGACCTCTGGAAAGGTTTTCCACAGCAGGGACCTGTCCCGCCTGGCCTCCTTCTTACTACTCTTCCCTAAGGACATTCCCACTCACTTGCTTCTCTCTGAATTCAGTCTTCTCTTGTCTCAAAATGTTCCGATTCACTTCAGTTCCTCCATCTTCTACCCCTTGGGCAGTCACTCGGAGGCTGAAGACACATGCTTCCCTGTGGCACAAGACACGGACTTAGGAGAACCAGACAACCCTATGGCTACTGTCTTCACAGACATGCTCTCTTTTTGGGATACACTTCCACAATTTGCCTACATTCTTAATGATGACAGCTTATGGGTCGTTAACCCTATAGAAGGTAACTACTTGCTGGTGGTTCTGGACAAGCCACAGAAAGTCATCCGGGTAGCAGTGCTGACAGGCTTTTCTCAGAAAAGGATGAACTACTTAAAACAGGCACAAATATTACTGGGCTATAGCGTCATGGACTACCCCAAACGCTGCGCTCAATATACCTTGGTAGGACCTTTGGTGAGAGGGCAGTTGGACCAGATGGTATTTTATGAAGAAGATTCTGTGAAGGAGATTAGTTGTATAAAACTGCTGGTGACAGTATCTCATGACTCCCCCATCAAGATCCAACAGATCAAAGTCTGGGCAGAAGTGGAGGAAGAGGAGAATTAGAGGGTGCCATGAGATTTCTGCAAGGACACAGTCTGGGAAGAGGAAATAAATACATCAATTGACCAAGAATTTCTACTCCTTGTGAATACAGTGCTATGTAATTTATTTTCCAGAGTGGGACCCCGTGCTGGTTGGTTCTTGTAAACCTGACACAAACCTAGACATATCTGAGAAGAGGGAACCTCAACTGAGAAAATGCTTCCATAACACTGGACTTTGGGGCATTTTCTGAATTAGTGATGTTTCAAACAAACAAAAGTGAAGTGTTCTTAAAGAACATCACAGCAGGCCATCCTCTGGCATGTGCGAGCGCGCACACACACACACACACACACACACACACACACACACAAACACACACAAACACACACACACACAAAGCTGTGGTAGGAAGACAGATGTCATGACCCATGCCTATAATCACAAATCTATGACACAGAGGCTCAAAATTCCCAGTTACCCTAAATACCTAGCAAGGACTATTACATGAAACTCTGTCTTTTAAAAAAGTGGGGGGAGCTAGCCGGGTGTTGGTGGCACATGTCTTTAATCCCAGTACTAGGGAGGCAGAAGCAGGTGGATCTGTTCTGCAACAAATATGTTGCAGAATATTTGTACACTGTGAAGATGTGTCTTTGCCAAGGCTCCTTCTGATTCATTTAATAGAGCTGAATGACCAAAAGCTATCCAGGAGAGATAGGATTTCCAGAGAGAGAGAGGAGTAAAGAGGCACCTGGGGAGCTGGAGAACAAGTGCTGTACAGAGGAAAGGCAAAAGCCATGTGGCAGAATGTAGATTAATAAAAGCAGGCTAAATAAGTTATAAGAGCTAGTTGGGGACAAGATTAAACTAAAGGCCAAGCTTTCATAATAAGTCTCTGTATCATTATTTCTGGGCTGGTGATCCAAGAAAGTCTGACAAGAAAGTTTGCTACAGATCTCTGAGTTCAAGGCCACCATGGTCCACAGAGCGAATTCCAGGATAGCCAGGGCAACACAGAAAAACCCTGTCTCAAAAAACCAAAAACCAACCAAACAAACAAAAAGATCAAACAAAGCCATTATAAAGCAAAACATCTCCAAAAGTGCCACTGAGTTTGTTTTCTGTTGGCCATCTACAGCTGGGCATGGGACTTCCTCGTGTGTGATTTGTATATCCAGTGAGACTGCATTGAAAAAACTAAGTTTTTCCTTTTTGAGTGGTTGTCAAATGGTGATAGCTTCTGGGTTAGGGATGGAGGCTCCTGTTCACTTTCCCTCTTGGCGCAGGGACCCCATCTGTCTTAGATGTTCCTTACAGGTACAGGTCTAAGACACATGTTGCCAGAGTTGCTGTGAGTTCATGTGTGTCAGTCCTTCTGTTTTGTCCAGAAGCCTGTTTCCTTGATGTCATCCATGCCCTCTGGCTTTTACAATCCTTCCTCCTCTTTGTCTACTGTTTTTTAAACTTTTCCCCAAAGCTAGAGAAATGATGACTGCATATGGTCAATTGCTTTTCACGGCAATATTTATTATCCTTTGCATTAGAAAAAGAATGATGGGCCAGACTTGGTGGCATACACCTTTAATCCCAACACTCAAGAGACAGAGGCAGATTGATCTCTCTGTGTTCCAGGCCAGCCAGCCTGAACTACAGAGCAAGTCCCAGGACAGCCAGGATTACTCAGAGAAACCCTGTGTAATCCTTGAAAAACCAAAAATAAAAAAAAAAAGGAAAGAAGGAGGAAGGAAGAAAGAACATTTGTTCAAATGTTGGACCAGCAAGGTGGGTAAAGTTTGCTACTAAGTCTGATGACCTGAGCACAACTCTTGGAACCCACATGATGGAAGGAGAGAACTGATTCCTGCAAGTTGTCCTTTGCCACACCAAGGCAAGCACACACACACACACACACACACACACACACTTGTATATTCTTTTTCCCTCTTTCTCAAAACAAATGGACAAACAAAAACAGTATCATGAGAAACCATGTGCACATCTTTAAAAAGAACATAACTCAGTTGGGCAGTGGTGGCCACACCTTTAATCCCAGCACTTGGCAGGCTGAGCCAGCAGGATCTGTGTAAATTCAAAGCTAGTGAGTTGCAGAGCTCCAGGCCAACCAGGGTTACATAGTGAGATCCTGTCTCAAAAATAAATAATAGGGCTGAAGAGATAGCTCAGAGGTTAAGAGCACTGACTGCTCTTCCAGAGGTCCTGAGTTCAATTCCCAGCAACCACATGGTGGCTCACAACCATCCATTAGGAGATCTGGTGCCCTCTTCTGGTGTGCAGATATACATGGAAGCAGAATGTTGTATACATAATAAATCAATCTTTTATTAAATAAATAAATAAATAATAAGCAATATACTTACCTTTTTTTGAGACAATGTCTGACAGGTGTACCCCAGGCTGGCCTTGAGCTCACAGAGACCCACCTGCCTCTGTCCCCACCCCAACCCTCCAGTGATAAGATTAAAGGCATGCACCACCTTACTGGCTTATTACTTTTATGTGTGTGTGGGGGAGTGTCTTCATGTATGTCTGTGAACTACATGTATACATGGTGCCCACAGGGCCAGAAGAAGGCATCTAGCCCCTGGAACTGAAGTCATGGGTGGTTCTGAGTCACCAGAAATTGAACTCAGGTACTCTGGAAGAGCAGCCATCTTGCTAGCCCTCTGGCTTTTTTATTTAGATTTTGGGGGGTAGGGGATTCAAGACAGGGCTTCTCTGTGTAGTCCTGGCTGTTCTGGAACTCTCTCTGTAGACCAGGCTGGCCTTGAACTCACAGAGATCTGCCAGCCTCTGTTTCCTAATACTGGGATTAAAGGTGTGTATCACCTCACCACTTTACCCCAGCTTTTAATTTAGATTTTTTTTAAAAAAATCACTTTTAATCATGTGTCTGTGTATTGGTGTCAGTATGTTCACATGAGTGCATGTCCCTGTAGAGGCCAGAGGTGTCAGATCCCCCTGCAGCTGAGTTGTAGGCATTCATGAGTCACCGGACATGGGCGCTAGGAACCAGATCTTGAACTTGGGTCCTCTACAAGAGCAGCCTGCACTCTTAACCACTGAGCCATCTCCACCCAGGCTGCCAACAACCTAAAAGCTAATGTCTTCCTCCAGGGCACAGGGCAGGTTTGTTTATAAAGACAGCAACTCCCTCTGCAGAGATTTAGAGGCTGCCTCTCCAGTGATATTAAAGCAGCAAGAATTCTCTTTCCTCCCTAGAGAGGATCTGTTTGTTTCCTAACCAGAACAATAAAGGTAATGTCTCCCCATGCAGCAGAGGTTGGTCCCCTTATAAAATCAGAGCTTTCTTAGGTTAGCATGATGTGGGCCCTCCGTGTGAGCAGGGTCCACCCAGCCTCAATGAATCATCCTCACTAGATTTCCCCTGGGGAATTGTTGCCACAGGAAGCCCATAGTGTCTGCATCACCTGGGAAGTCTAGCATGTCCCCAGAACAGCTAGTTCCCTGGTGTTCAGGGAGCGTATGACTTCTTAATAGCAGCAGCGGTTACTTTTCTTTAGTGTATTTTTCCCAGAGCCCTTTCTTCCTTCCTGGTCATTTGTACTGTTCCAGGCACTTAGGATGCATTAGTAAACAGACAGAGACTGTTCCCCCAGGGGCTTGTGCTCGGAAGAGGGAGCAGAGATATTTAGACAGATACATGAGTGTGTTCCGGACGAGCTGTGGAGTTTTTCTATCAGTGGAGTGACACAATATGCTGAAGTGATAGAAGGAAACTAAGCCCAGCACTGTAGGAAGAAGCAGGCAGATCGCTGAGTTCAAGGCCAGCCTGGTCTACACAGTGAGTTATAGGTCAGCCAAGGCTACATAGTGAGCCCCCCCCCAAAAGAAAGTGAATTAAATACAGTAATTACAATTAAAGTAATTGAAGAAGGAAAGAGGTGGAAATGAATCCACAGAAAATACGGTCATGCTAGGACAGAGCAATAGCAGTGGAGGGGGTGAGAATTGGTTAGAGGTTGAACATATTTAAGATTGACCCAAGATTAGTGAAGATTGGTTGTAGGGTTTGAGAAAAGGAGCCAGATGCAATTCTAGAGATGAGCTTCTCCCCACCAAAATGGAGGTGGCTTCTTCTGTGTCATTAAAAGAAACAATCTTGTGTGTGTGTGAAGGCCTTATCACTACCTTGTTAAATCTATTCCTCAGTACTTCATGCTGACTGTTGATATTGACGATTTATTATAACTAGGCTGGAGGGATGGCTCAGGAGTTAAGAGCACTTACCACTTTTTCAGAAGACATGGGTTTGGTTCCCAGCACCCACATGGCGGCTCACAACCATTTTGAACTCCAGTTGCAGAGTATCTGATGCCCTTTGCTGGCCTTTGCAGGTGCCAGACACACATTTGGTGCACAGACATACATGCAAGCAAAACACCCACACACGTGAAATAAAAAGAAATCTTGTTTTTAAAAAAGATAAATTATTGGAGCTCCAGAGATGGCTTGGTCATTAAGGGCACTGGCTCCTCTTCCAGAGGACCTGGGGTTTGATTCCCAGGGCCAGTAACTCCAGACACCCTCTTCTGACCACCCTGGGTACTGCATACATGTGGCACATGGGCATACATGCAGACAAAACACCCACATACATGACAATAAATAATTTAAAAAATTTTAAAGATAAACTATTACTATAACAGTATCTTATAAAGCCAAAAAAGGGTTGTTTTGTGTTTTTTTAATTAACAGATAAATGTGACTATCATAGACAATGTAATATATATGATTATATCTATACATATATATTCAAATAGCTATCTCTAACATGTACTTTATCATACAAAGTTCCTATTTTTGTCCTGGAAACAAAGGATTGAAACTGTAAAGTAAGAAAGCACAAGGGAGGTTTGGAGGTGATAAAGTTATCCTCTATCTTGATTATGGTTATTACACAAATCTATACATGTTCTAAAATTCATATAACAATACATCAAAACTACTTTAGGGCTGGAGAGATGGCTCAAAGGTTAAGAGCACAGGCTTGCTATTCCAGAGGTCCTGAGTTCAATTCCCAGCAACCACATTGTGGCTCAACAACCATCCGTTATGAGATCTGGTGCCCTATTCTGGTGTGCAGATATACATGGAAGCAGAATGTTGTATACATAATAAATAAATAAAATCTTTTAAAAAACTACTTTAATAATCTGCAATTATTTTATGTGTGATAGTAGCATTATGGTTCTTTTTAAAGTCTTTTCAAGGTATATGCTAAAATATTTAAGGGCAAATTATATTAAACATGGGTGCTGTAGAATATTAGTTTAAGATGTGTTACATTTTCGGGCCAGTGGTGATGCACACCTTTAATCCCAGCACTTGGGAGGCAGAGGCCGCCAGATCTCTGTGAGTTCAAGACCAGCCTGGTCTACAAGAGCTAGTTCCAGGACAGCCTCCAAAGCCACAGAGAAACCCTGTCATAAAAAAAAAAAAAAAAGAAAGAAAGAAAGAAAGAAAGAAGAAAGAAAGAAAGAAAGAAAGAGATGTGTTACATTTGTTTATGCTAGCCGGGCGTTGGTGGCGCATGTCTTTAATCCCAGCACTAGGGAGGCAGAGGCAGGTGGATCTCTGTGAGTTCGAGACCAGCCTGGTCTACAAGAACTAGTTCCAGGACAGCCTCCAAAGCCACAGAGAAACCCTGTCTCAAAAAACAAAAAACAAAAACAAACATTTGTTTATGTTGTGGAATATTTGTTTAATCATGCAAAGATGTGTTGTATTCTTTTATGTTGCCTCTGTGAAGTTGTGTTACTTTGTCTAAAACACCTGATTGGTCTCATAAAGAACTGAATGGCCAATAGCAAGGCAAGAAAGAGAAATAGGTGGGGCTGGCAGGCAGAGAGAATAAAAATGAGAGGAGCTAGGAGCCAGAAAAGGAGAAGAGGACGCCAGTGGCCAGCCACCCAGCAACACAGTAAGAAGGCAAGAAAGACATATAGAATAAAGAAAGATAAAAAGCCCAGGCAAAACATAGTTAAACAGAAACAGGATAATTAGTTAAATTAGAAAAGCTGGGTAGAAGCCGGGCATTGGTGGTGCACGTCTTTAATCCCAGCACTCGGAGGCAGAGGCAGGCGGATCTCTGTGATCCAGCCTGGTCTCCAGAGCGAGTGCCAAGATAGGCTCCAAAGCTACACAGAGAAACCCTGTCTCGAAAAAAAACAAAAAAACAAAACAAAACAAAACAAAAAAGCTGGCTAGAAACAAGCTAAGCTAAGGCTGGGCATTCATTCATAAGTAAGAATAAGTCTCAAAAGATATGTGACAGGCAGGGTTTTACTTGGGGGTGGGTGGTAGGGGAGGAGGGGAGGGAGAAGGAACTGGGATTGTCATGTAAAACAATCTTGTTTCTAATTCAAATAAAAAAATCTGCAGGAAAAAAAAAAAGAATAAGTCTCCGTGTATTTATCTGGGAGCTGAATGGTGGGCCCCCAAAGAGTGAAAAAAAAAAAAACTACAGTGGGGTTCGCTTAAAAATAATACTGGAAGGGATGAGCAAACTGAATTGCTCAGTGAGTCAAGTCCTTGCCATGCAGGCATGAGAACTTGTGGTTTTCACTAGTGCCCATGGAATCTCAAAATATATGGTAGAAGTTGGGTATAGTGGTGAACACTTTAGTCCCAGCACTCAGGAAGCAAAGGTACATGGACCTCTATGTAGACCAGTCTGGTCTCGAACTCACACAGATATATCTGCCTCTGCCTCCCTACTACTGGGACTAAAGGTGTGTGCCACCACCACCTGGCACCCAACTATTTATTTTTAGTTTTTTGGGGGAGAAAGGGTTCTTGAGGTGATGAGTCAAATCATTGTTTAAGCCAATAGGCTGATATTGGGGGTGGTATTGAAGTAAAGCTTTAGTTGCCCCTTCCACATAGAACAAGGTCTCTTTTTTATGGCTCCTTCAGAGGAGGTAGAGAAGGTAGAGAAGGGGAGTAGTGCCCCCACCATCAGAGTAATGAGCCTGGTTAATATGTGACCTACGGAATGACCTGCGGGATACACAGGGCTGTTAATATGTGACATTGGTCAGGCTGCTACTCCTGAGAGGCATGGAGGTTGAGCATGGTCTTGTCAGCCCTCTGTGGTCATGGCCTACTTACCAGAAAGGCCTGTCTTCCTACCCATGCGACATGACAGTTGACAGCACACAGCATCCAGGACTTTAAGCCAATCTCATACATCTGATCCAGTGGTACCTAGAAATGCACTTTAATTGTGAGCCCCGTTGACGTAAGTACGCTCTCCTCTTGTTCTGCACCTCTCCCTTCCCTGCCACATCCCACCCAGGAAAAGGAGGAGGAGGACCTGGAACCTCTACAGACAGATACAGGCAGTAAAAAGGTCAGTGGTGATCCATAAGTCAGAGGCTCTACAAGATAATCCCATGGTTCTCCCAGAACTGAAAGAAAAAAAAAAAAAAAAAAAAAAAAAAAAAGGGGGGGGGGGGGGACAAAAAAAAAAAAAAAGCAAGGGCTGGATGTGGTGACAAAAGCCAATAGGATATGCTAAAGAGACAGAGGCAGGAGGATCATGAATTCGAGGGCAGGTGGTTCACAATCGTCTGCAACCCCAGTTTTTCTGACTTCTTTGGGCACCAGGCATGCACATGGTACACATACATCACATACGTACGTACATACATACATACATACAGGCAAAATATTCATACACGGAAGATAAAACGAGGAAATATTTTAAAAATTAGAAGGTATGGATCCATCTTCCCCCGTTTCAACCTTCCCTACACTGGTGGGCACTTTACCATGCCCTGCCACGCTCTGACTTCCCTTTAGGCAGTGCTTCTGAACTGCGTTTAAACAGTGTTTCAGAGCAGACATTCTAGCTGCTCTGAAAATTCTGACAGGCATGAACCCAGGTCCGAGTGACATTTTCAGCTAGCCTAGAATAAGAAAACAAAACCTTTCTTGGTCTTCAGAGTTGACTGAAAACCAAGGCTTCATTGTCCCGGATGCCCTGAAGGTATCCATTGCTGATGTCCATCGATGGCACCCTTCACGGCTCTTTCTTCCATTGCTATATCTCTAACAGCAAATGTCACTCCGTTTGGGAATGTGTGTGAAAAAGCATGGCCATCTTGGCAAATGTGCAGCCCCAGGGGCTTCTGGTACCTATTTCTAACTCCTGTTCCATGCTTGTGCTGTCAGCAGAGCTGAGTCCTAACCCCTAAGGGAGCCTTGGGGCTGTCTTCTGAGTTATAGTAGTAGCTGCTATCCAATTAGCATTTTGCCCCCTGACAGACATTACACTAAAGACGAGCACATCTCACTGAGCTTCAGAATAACCCTATGAACCAAACAGGCGGAGATTATGAAGTATTTTCACCTATTGATGAAGAAAGGCAGAGTAAGTTGTCCAAGGTCACAGGGCCACTAAGGCATTACTCTTGCATAGTATTACCTGCCTTGACAAGGACCCATACTTGATGGGAAGCTTGACTTGAACCAAAAGGAAACCCTTGATTTTTTTAAAGATATTTATTTTTATTTTGTGTATGAGTGGTTTGCCTCCATGTACGTACGTATGTATGCATGTATGTATGCATGTATGTATGTATGTATGTATGTATGTACACTGTATGTGTAGTGCCTCAGGATGCCACAAGAGAGCACCAGAACCTCTAGAATTAGACTGAAAGACTCAAGCCTAGTATGTGGGTGCTGGGAACCCAGCCAGGGCCTTCCAGAAGAGTGGTGAGCTCTTAACTACGAAGCCATCTCTCCAGCCCCTCCTGACTGATTCTGATGAATTGACGTTGTGAGCAAAATCAGTTGTTTTGTTTGAAGGACTAGGAAATGAAGTTGCCTTGGCACTCTTCCTGAAACAGACATTAGTCGGGTAGTACAATTGTCTGGCAAGGCAACCTGTTGGGAAAAAAAACAAACAAACAAACCAAGAACTACCATCTGATGACTGACTTCTTGTTCTACTTTAAGCCTGTCTCTGGCTCAACACTGCACTTTCCATGAGGCTTTCAAACCGGCTGGCAGATTTCTTATCACGCGAATTAGCCTGGCTCCGTGTTAGAGAGAACTGTCATCCCTTCCCTTTGGAGTACATGTAAGTGGTAGAATCCAGAAAGCTAGAAAGGAGTGGGCTGGGACTGCCTAGCTACCCGCATACTTGGATCACCGTATCCATAGGGAAGAGGAGGCTTCTCCATAGGCCACGCCCCGGAGAGCTCCGCCCCCGGGCCCGCCCCGCGGCGCATTGTGGGATCTGTCAGCCCCACTGGACCTGACGCCGCGCTAGGTCATGGGGATTCAACCGGTAAGACCCTCGTTCGACGCCCTGAGTCCGGGGTCCCCGACCCAGCTGGTTCTGGGCAGTTGGCTCCGAGGGGCTGGGCTGTGCCAGCTTTGGATGCCCAGGGTCTCGCTCGCTACATCAGTTGCGGGTTGGGGACGCTGCTCCGCTCACTCCTGCGGCTTTGGCATTCTTTCTCCCTGGAGCTCGGGATCGCCGCCCCTGGCCCCCCACCCACCCCTTGGCTCTTCTTCAGCGTGGTGATCACGGTTCTTCCTCTACCCATAGAGCCCGGTCCTGCTAGCCTCTCTGGGGGTGGGGCTGCTTACTCTGCTCGGACTGGCTGTGGCTACCTATCTGGTTCGAAGATCCCGCCGGTCGCAGGTCACACTCCGGGACCCGGATGAGAAGTACCTGCTACGATTGCTCGACAAGACGGTAAGTTGTGAAGAAGGGGCCTAGGGTAGAGAGGGGACCGAAGTTCTCCTGTTTTGAGGGATAGTATCCACGGTGGTTGGATTACTCGAGGGGACTTGGCAGACCAGACCTGCTTGATGAAACATCTTGTCATCCATCCTCTAGACTGTGAGCCAAAACACCAAGAGGTTCCGCTTTGCCCTGCCCACCGCCAACCACATTCTGGGACTGCCTGTGGGTAAGGAAAAGGGAGTGGGCTTCTCTCGTTGGCATCCCACGAGAACGAGTCACTGCTTAGCTATTTCCCTTGTACACACCATTCCTCTTTCCTCACTTGACTTCGAATCGTTCAGCCTGTGAAGGATAACTCCCTTAGGGTGTGGCTTCTGTGCCCCTAGACATCTCTAACCTCCAGTAGTCCTTCCTATTTCCTGTAGGACTTATCATATCCCTCCCTCCCACCCTAGCAAACACTAATTTCTTTCCATTGTGCAAACCCTCTGCTCACCTGCTGCTGCTAAGGTCCTAGCAGTAGCTGAGGACGTTTCTCAGGTGGGAGGAGGCAAGAACGACTGCCCAGTGATCCTGCCTGAGGGGACAGTTCCTCCCTGGGGGACAGTTCCTTGGACCTGCACCAAGAAGCAAAGTATCCTTTTCTCTCAAATCTGAGTCTTTTTGAAAGGTAACAGGGCCATAGCACATCCACAGCAGCTTGTGTAACTCTTCTCATGGTTCCCAGGCAAGCATGTCTACCTCTCTGCCCGAATTGATGGCAATCTGGTCATCAGGCCTTACACTCCTGTCACCAGTGATGAAGACCGAGGCTATGTGGATCTTGTCATCAAGGTAAGAGTAGAGAAAGGAGATCTTGGGACTGGAGAGATGTCCTGGTCTCTGGGTAAAGCTCTTGCCATACAAGCCTGAGTTTGTATTCCCCAGCACCCATGCAAAAGCTGGACACAGTAGCCCAGGCATCTGAAATCCCAGCATGCCCCTACTGGGAGATGGATACCTGAGAATTACCAAAAACTCAGAGTTTAGGGGCCAGCTAACCTTTCAAAAACAAGAAAGATTCTGTCGCAAACAAGATGAAAGAGACATAGACTAATATCTGAGGTTCTCTGACCTTCCCACACTTGCCATGGTAGGCATGCACACATGCTCACCTACACACACACGCCTACACACACACACACACACACACACACTACAAACGTGTATACATACACACACGTATTTTCTTCCTCTCTGCCTCATCAGGTTTATCTAAAAGGTGTGCACCCCAAATTTCCTGAAGGAGGGAAGATGTCTCAGTACCTGGATAGCCTGAAAATTGGGGATGTGGTGGAGTTTCGGGGGCCAAGTGGGTTGCTCAATTATGCTGGAAAAGGTGATTATTTGTCTTTTCCTTCCTACTGTCTCACCTCTGTCCCTACAGTGCCCCCACGCACTCTGAATGTGTGCATGTTTGTAACTGTGTAAGGTCTCCTAAAGCACCTATGCTACAGACAGCTGTGGAGATTACCAAAGTAAACCTGTTCCTCTCCTTCCCTCCCTTGAAGATTCTTCCCTCTGCCTAAGAACCAAAAGAGAAAGCCCTTCCCAAGGGAACAGTTGGCTGCTGTACCATACCCCTACTGACACTTGGACCACTAGGGAAACTAAATTCACCCTGACCCTGTGCCTAACACCTTCACCAGGAAGCAATTCTCTGCCAGAGGATCTTTGCTCCACACACCTTCCCTTGCCCCTCACTTGTCGTTGAATCATCCAGGTTGTGTGGGACCACTGGGTTTCTTTGGGGGTGTGGCTTCTGTGCCCCCACAATGTGAACTGACTGGTAGGCAGAGATGACAGCCCAGCCTCATTGTCCTTCCTGTGTAATTGTCAGGGCCAGTTTAACTCAAACCTCTGTCCAAGTCCCAGGATCAGATTTCATAGCAGCTGCTAAAACAGCCTAGGGCATGTTTTCAGTTCTGCATTTGTTTACTTAGTTGCTGTTTTGAGCTGACTCTAACTCTTTGCTTGACTTCTCAGGGAATTTTTACATTCAGACCAACAAAAATTCTCCATCTGAACTGCGAGTGGCAAAGAAATTGGGAATGATTGCTGGTGGGACAGGTCTGTATTACTTGAGGGACATTTTTGCTTAGCATTGTTGGGTTTTGCTATGCAGATTTCTATATGATCTCAGGTTTTATAATAGAGGACAAGCCATTCATCAAAGGACCCCCATCACTGCCTAGACTTTCCCAGTAGCTAAAGTCATAAGCAACTAGAAACAAAAAAAATTCACAGAACGAGAGCAATAAATCAGGAGAGTTCTCCACAAACTGAGTGGATTTAATGACTAAGAGAAACAGTAAGTATGAATAGTTGAGGAGGAAAAAGCCTGGCCTGGTGGTTCAGGCCTGTAGTCCAGTTAGTTTGAATCAAGAGGTTCACAGAGTTTAGAGCCAGGTTAGGCTGCATACATAGATACAGAGTTCTAGCCACGCCTGAACAATTTAGTGAACACAGGGTTAGAAGAGCACTTACCTAGCATGTTTGATGTCCTAGATTCAATCCTCTGTCACAAAAGGGGGGAAAAAGAGTACTATAGTACCACTCTTAGACACCTACTACTCTGTAAGTACTTAACTGTGCTTTTCTCGTCTGCAAATGAGGAAATGGAGAGTCCTAGAGCTTAGGTTTCCACAGGTTTCTTTTGTTGGTTTTGGTTTCTTGGTTTTTAGAGACAGGATTTCACTATGTAGCCCTGGCTGTCCTGGAACTCATTCTGTAGACCAGGCTGGCCTCTGCCTCAAGTGCTGGGATTAAAGACGTGCACCACTGCTGTCCAGCTTCCTACCACAGGGTTATTTAGTTAGTAATGGCCAAGCCAGGATTTGAATCTGACTCTGCCTAATTCCAAAGAACATGTTCTATAAGCAGTGTTCCAGAACCCTTATCACTGAGGCAAGATCTTTTTTTTTTTTTAAGATTTTATTTTTTTATTATGTATACAACATTCTCCTCCCATGTATATCTGCACACCAGAAGAGGGCACCAGATCTCATAACAGATGGTTGTGAGCCACCATGTGGTTGCTGGGAATTGAACTCAGGACCTCTGGAAGAGCAGTCAGTGCTCTTAACCTCTGAACCATCTCTCCAGCCCCAAGGCAAGATCTTGTTATATAGCTTTGGTTGGCCCAGAACCCCACTGTGTCCTCACAGAGATATAACAGAGCTCTGGGAATTAAGGCCACGTGCTGCCAGATCTGGCCTAATTGATAATGCTTGTGTTCCTGCCTCCAAAGAACTTTCAGAGCAAGTGTCTCAGATTGGCTCCTTAGAAGGGTTTCTACACTGTGTTCTTATGTGAATAGTAAGCTCCAGAATTGTAGGTACTGGTGAAAATACAACAAGAAAACACATGGCATGTGGATGATAAGCTCTGAGATGACAGAGTTAGTCAGCACAGGAGCTGGGACAGACCAGAGAGAACACATCTCTCTAGCTGACACATCTCACTATGGCGGATCCTCCTGCAGGAATCACCCCAATGCTGCAGCTGATCCGGGCCATCTTGAAAGTCCCTGAAGATCCAACCCAGTGCTTTCTACTTTTTGCCAACCAGGTTCGTTTGCTTTTCTCAGTCCCAGGATTTTAAAGTTGGCTGTGTGGATAGATAGGGCTGAGACAGAGGACTGGCTCAGTCCTTGTTCTAGTCTCGGTCCAGAAACCCCTATGTGAACGCAGGGTCCTCCATCACAATAAGAAGGAAAGATGGGGACCAGCAAGAAGAGGGTGTAGATTTGGTTTCCCATCCCCACATGGCATCTTACAACCTTCTCTATGGCCAGTTCTAGGGCATCTGGGACCCAGGGGCAATGGGCACCCATGCAATGCACTTACATCCATGCAGGAAAAACACTCATAAAATAAAAATAAATACTGGAAAAGGAAAGAAAAGAAGGAAAGGGGGCCTGGTACTAAACCAAAATTTTCCCCTGGCCCCAGGGAAATAAGAGAAGATGGAGATGTCTTATGCTGAGGAGAGGGACTTGGGCCTTCTTGGTCAAATACCCCTTTGTAATGGGTAAATGAGGCCACTTCCTGATCCTTAGTGCCTAAAAGTACTGCCAAGTCTAGACTCTTCCTGGAATTTGAGCATGCCTTTAGCATCCCCTTTCCTTCCTGGTTGGGAGGTTATCAGAGCAAAACACTCTTCTGATGTGGGCCCAGGGCCCATGGTTTCTAAGACTCGGCTTCCCCATTTGCATTTCAGACTGAAAAGGACATAATCCTACGGGAGGACCTAGAGGAACTACAGGCCCAGTATCCCAACCGCTTTAAGCTCTGGTTCACTCTGGACCATCCTCCAGAAGGTATCTTGTCATTTCTGAACATCTGGATAGTTCCTTATTATCTAAATCAAGACCTTGCCCCTCTTTGAGTTCCGGTTCCAGTAAAACAGACCCTCCCGAAACTGCCAGAATCCTAAATCTGTGTGCACAGACCAAATGATGTCTTGATCCCTTTCCTTCCGGCTCCTGTCTTTCAGGTGGGTGGCAGGGATGTGGCTTATAGTTGCTCCTGTCATCTGAGACCTTCTCAGGATTCCTTCAGGGTCTTGCCAATGATGTGCATTTTGTTGCTGATGTGGCTCTGAAGCATGTGTCCTCCTCTCCCTATCTTACAGGTTGGACCTACAGCCGGGGCTTCGTGACTGCTGACATGATCCAGCAGCACCTGCCCCCCCCAGCAGACGATGTGCTGGTGCTGCTCTGTGGGCCGCCGCCTATGGTACAGCTGGCCTGCCATCCTAACTTGGACAAGCTGTGCTATTCACAAAAGATGCGATTCACCTACTGAGCGTCTCAACCTGACCTCACAAAAGATGCTATTCACCTCCTGAGCATCTCAACCTGATCCCACGCGTGCAGTTGTCCCTAATCAGTTCTTGACCGCCTTGAGGCCTAGAGCCTTTACTAAGAGCATCAGCCTTTTGTGTCTCAGCCTGGAACCTGGATGCTTGAAGAAATGACACTCCTCTAGCTATGGTAGAGGCAGGCCAGACTGAGTCACTTCCTGGAAGCCTCCCCTATCCTATGTGGTAAAAGATCCAGATGAAGCTCACAAGACAGTCTCTTCTGTAGGGCCAGGAAGAAGAGAGCATGTACATTTGTCATAAGTCTGGCTAGTTTCTGAGGAGAGAGTGGAAAATGTACAATACATTTTGCTCAATATTCAGCAACTCTACTACTTACGTGAGTACAGGTTGAGTGGATTTATAGACATAGTCCTACAGAAAGTGAAGGAAAGGAATTGTTTTCCACATCTCTAAACCCCAGAGAAAGGAGTCTGACCACATATTTGCCCAGGCTAGAGAGACATGGTTACCCACAATTTACGATGGCTGTTTGTACAAGGAGTAGAGCTCTGGCTGTTCAAATAAAATGGAGCTGAGGCCCTGATGATCTCAAGGAGTCATTGTGTCTGGGGTCTTTGTCTCCTGATGGCTGAGGACAGGGGAAGGGAAGGGCTCTCAGCACAGAATCTCCTGGGTGTTATAAAGAAAGAGCTTTTGAGGAGTTGTGCCATATGCTGAAATGTGAGCTGCTGCCACCAGACCCAGGGCTCATTCCTGCAGCTGTTCTGCAGAGCCAGAGCCCAAGTCCTCCCTGGAGGCTTCAGAGATGGAAGGAAGAAAATACAGTTAGAGGGGGCTCTTGAGAGTATGGGTAGCCCTTCCAGTGGCCCCTTAATTTGGTTAGTCTTCCCTCTTTCTGTGGGCCTGCCTTCATGTTATTTATCCTTCAGAGTACCCAGCATACAAAACAAAGTATTGCCTTTCCATTTGGAAGGGACATCTGCCCCTTTAAAAAGTAACCTGACATCACCAACTCTGGACAGATTTGGTGACTGGGCAGAGTTGGCCTGTCCCAGGCCCACCAGTCCTAAATAGCCTGCTATGCTTGAGAGCTCAAGATTCAATCTCCTCACTTGTCCTGGGATAGGACTAAGACAGCAGCGTAGCTCCGTTGTTAGTTTCATTGGGAGAAAACAATGCTTTAGATTAAGTTGGAAGGTCAATCTTGGTTTTGTTTCCATTATGTTGTGTACGTGAGGGTGTTTCCGCCTGTATGCATGTGTCTGCACCACATGCATGCAGTACCCAAGAATGCCAGAAGAGGGCATCAGATTCCAAGGAACTGGAGTTACAGTCTTTTGAGAGCTGTGCATATGGGTGCTTGGAATTGAACCCTGGTCCTCTTGAAGAGCAGCCAGCTATCTTAACTGCTGAGCCATCTCTCCAGCTCCTCAACATTGTTTTTCTGCATGGAACTGGGTATGTCTGTCTCTGCGCTCCTGATGGAAGATTTATGAGACCATTAGAATTCACACACACACACACACACACACACACACACACACACACACACACACACACACGCCCAATAGAACAGATAATTCAGTAAATTCTGTTTCCATCTAATATATCTTGATTATCTAGTATGTATATGCCGCTGCTCTGTGAGCCACCTCACCTTCAGAAAGGAATTTTTTTTTTTTTTTTTTTTTTTTTTTTTTAGAATACTTTATCAGAAAGGAAATTCTTGCTTAGGATTGTTGAACCCAGCTTGCTGGTCCTTTTTTTTTTTCCCACAGAAATTAAGAACCAATCATGTGAGCAAGCAATGTATCCTGAGGTTACAGCTGTGACCAAGAACAGCTGGTGGTAGTTTTTCTCCCCCAAACTCCTCCAAGTCTAAGACAGACTAGTAGCAAATCATTTCAGCAGGGGTGATCAACACTACTGAAGAGGTATAGGGTTCTCAGGTATAGGGGTTGAGAAAGTCAGAGGAAGAAGAATTTGCCTACATTGCACAATATAATCCGATGCTAATCCTGTGAATTGAAGATTAAGGATTTGCCAAAGGAAATACAGCCGGTCAGTAGCTGGCAGAGCCTGTAACTGAATTTACGCTTATCTGCAGCCTAAGCCAAACTGGGTCTTTTGGAAGATGGTGAGGGAAGGGCAGTCCACCAAAGGATGCAGGCGCAAAAGCTGGAGGAGTGGAAGATGAGGCTGGTTAGGAAAAGACACAGGTCTACATGAACCCAGAGCCCAGACTTTTAACCAGAACAAAATTGACTTCACTCTCCTGGGGCATCCATCTAGCATCTGGACACCTTTCTCAGCGTCTAGAACCGTATTAGAGGTGCATCATTCTTTGGAGTGTAAGAAATTTTGGACAGTCCCCAAATTCTATATTGGGTGGTTCATCTGCGGCAGAGAAACACCCTAACTTGTTTTCCAGGTGTGCCCTCTGGTTCACATGGGAACATGGGCTGGAGCAGAAAATTGTCAAAATTGGCCTGTTTGAAACAACTTCTCCCTTTCTGAGAAATAACAGGAACCAAGTCATTCCATAAATAACATACAGAAGGAAGAAAGGAGGAGGGATTAGGAAACTGGATAGAGAAATGAAGAGTTTCGGGGCTGCGTATGGCGGCGCACGTTTATAACCCCAGCATTCGGGAGGGAAGCTGAGACAGGAAGATTACCGCTAGCATGAGGCCAACCTGGGTTGCAGAATTAAACCTTTTCCTAAAACAGAAATAAAAGTGTTTCGGTGCTAGAGATGTAGTTCAATGGTACAGGGCTTGCTTAGAGGTTCAATTCCCAACACCGAGGGAAAGAGGGGAAAAAAAGTGTTTCGGAACTGAAAAGCCAGGAAGTAGGGTGGGAAATTCAGCATTCCTCCCAGGGTCCGATCTACTTCTCCCGGCTCCCTTTTCCATCACGCGCCCAGTGTGTGCCCGGAGAAGAAGCTTTTGCAGTTGGCCAGTGAGAGGGCAAGCTGCGACAGCCGGAGCGAGCTATTGGTTAGAAGAGAGGCGAGGCGGGGCGTGCGCGGTAGCGCACGGGTGATTGGCACGCGCAGGAATGCCTGGATCGGAGGGGGCGAGGTAGCGCCGGGAAGGTGACGCGGCTGCGGAGGTGACGCCGT